TGGATATGGAACCTTATAAATACTGGTTTAACAGCTGCTTCATATGGAGTTCTTCAATACCAAATCGGAAAGATATGGGCAGTACTTGGTGAAGAAGTTTTAGATGACGTTAAAAATGCTTTGAACTTCATTTCAAATGGTTCGGATACTATTAAAACTTTATCTGGTTGGATGCAAGAAACAAGGAGTCAAATAGATACTGTAAGACGCATAGCAAACAATGCACGTACGGGATTGGATACTTTACGAGAAGCACAAAATACACTAAAGGAAGCAAATGATATTCTTGGCTCAGTATCAGACATGCATGAAGATTGGCTTAAAGGTATTGACAAATCTTTAAAAAATCACAGTCAGTCTATTGCTGACTACAAGAAAAGTATAGATTTTTTACATAGTGCTATGGACGTACATGATGGAAGCATAAGGAACTTACTTAATGCTAACAATAACTTACCAGGAACTATTAAAGCATTTATAAAGTCCTTTGTAAAACCTGGTGCTCTAACATTTAGGTCTTTGAGAGCAAGAGCATTGAAGTCAAGAGATGCAGAAACTCCAACAGAACCTACAGAAGGAACTGAAACAACTGAAACTCCAGAAGAACCACCAAAACCAACAGCTAATGAAATATTGTTCGAATATTTTCCAAGGTACTCTGTTCTCATTGCATACATTCAAGAAATACTTAAGAAAGCAGACTTGACTTTAGGAGATGATGAAAGTTCTGTATATCTTTCGTTCCAGTTTCAAATAGCAGAACTTTTGAGACAGATATGCTTAATGTATGACAACATCTCTGATTTCACAAGATATGATGACGACCATGACCCGAACACGGTGAAGAAAAGTTTTACAAACATCCATTAAGACAGGAAAGGTTTTAACTCAAAGTCTCATTATTGACACCAAAGATGGCGAAGTGGACGTTCTTCAAGAGCTGAAGAAAAATACTTCTTCGGGAGGTGGTGGTAGGCATGAACTTGAAATAAATGAGATAGAAGAGAAATTAGCCGAGAAAGCAGATAAAAACCATGTTCATTATATAAGTTCAGACGAACAGATTATAACGGACTACCATGGATATTTAACACAGGATGAACAAATAAGCACTGAAGATGTTAATGAAAGAAGATATAAATACATTCGTGCTAAAGGTTATGACATAAGCTGTACTGTACAGTATGACACAGGTAAAGCACAAGAAGCATTTGGTTATAACGATGAAATATATGCCTCTAGTTTCTTTGTTAACGGTGTATTAGTTGAACCAAGATTTACTTTGAGAGTTAAGGCAAAAATAACTTTTGAAGATGCTATTAAAAGTAAAGCTGACAAAGATGAACTTGACGCAACGAACAAAGTTTTGAAATCTCATAAACACAATATCTCCGATATAAATGAACTTCAAGCTACATTAAATAGTAAAGCTGACAAGAACCATACACATAAATCCTTCACTACTGTTAGAGCAGACGACATAATATTGAACTATACCCTTGGTTCAAGTGCACCTTTAGAGAATCCGAGTACAAGCGTAAAAGATACACTAAACAATTTAGATAACAGATGTATGAACATTGAAGGTCATGTCAGAAACTTTGAAACACATGAACTACCAGCAATGTTAGATAAGAAAGCTGACAAAAATCATACACATAAATCCTTCACTACTGTTAGAGCAGACGACATAATATTGAACTATACCCTTGGTTCAAGTGCACCTTTAGAGAATCCGAGTACAAGCGTAAAAGATACACTAAACAATTTAGATAACAGATGTATGAACATTGAAGGTCATGTCAGAAACTTTGAAACACATGAACTACCAGCAATGTTAGATAAGAAAGCAGACAAAACAGAGCTTCAAACATTAAAGACTGAAATACTTCAAACATTATATCCTATAGGCTCTATTTATATGTCAATGAACTCAACAAATCCAGCAACAGTTTTAGGTTTTGGTACGTGGAAGCAGATTGTAGATAAATTCTTATACTGTGCTAGATATTCAAAGCAAACAGGAGGTTCGAAGAAAATTAAAGAAGCAAACCTTCCACCGCACACTCATACAGGAACTACAAACACAACAGGTAATCATACACATTCAATAACAAAAAGAGGTTTTACAAATCTTGCAGCAGGTTCAGATAGACAGGGAATGAATAGATATGATATTTCAAGTGACCCAGTAGATTCAAGCGCAGGTATTTTCTGTGGAACCACAGGAAATCATTTACACACTTTCACAACAAATCCAACAGGCTCGGGTGCAGATTATATGCCACCATTTGTGACTATATTCGCATGGTACCGCGTTCAATGAACGCGCTTGAGCCTTGAATAAAATCTTTAATTTTACATAAATGAGCTTGAAAGAAGTATTCGAACAACATCCATGGAGGTCATTTAAGAAGTTCAATGAAGCTGCAAAGAGTTGGGGATTTACTAACAGAGCTGAAGTGAAAAGGTTCTTTTGACAAAAATGTTGTACATCAAACAAAAATAAACCCTTACGACTACTTTTTACCAATTTGCTCCAACACTCCTGACGCATACCAATTTGACACTCTCATTCAAAGCAGAAAAGGAGGACATAAACCATTCCTCATCTTCATTAATGTTAACACTCGCAAAGCATATGCATATCCAATGAGGAATAAAGGAACTCATGAAGTGTTAAAGTTTTACAAAAGTTTGTAGCAGAACATAGCCCAAGTACTTTAACATCAGACCAAGACAGTGCATACCTCAGCAATGAAATCACAGAATTTCTCATTAAGCATAACATAACTCACTACACTACTGAAGACCATAACCATAACATACTCGGCATCATAAACCGCTTCATAAGGACTCTCAGAGATTTAAATCAAGAGCGAGACTTTACCGAAGAAACAATGAAACATTTTCTCGAAGTATATAATTCCTCAACACATTCTACAACAGGACATACACCAAATTCAATGACACAACAACAAGAAGAAAAGTATATACAAAAGAAACGAAGCCAAACACAAAATATCAGAAATTCAACACAATTTACCCTCATTCCTGGTACAAAAGTTCGTGTAGTTCTTGACGACAAACCGTTGACAAAGAAATGTTTAAGGTTAAGTCGAAATTATTATATCGTAGACTCTACGCAAGGTAATGGATATCTTATAAAAAGCTGCTGACGACTCTATTGCGTTTTATCCTCGTCATAAATTAGTCGAAAGTAGTAATGGCAAACTTGCTGAAACCATTGACGAAGCAAAGCGAGGAGTGGTTATTGAAATACTTGGCTATAACACAAACGATGACACTTATAAAGTAAGATATGAAGGAGGCGTTGAAGATGTTATACCATCTAAGAACTTGAGAGAGTCGAAGCCAACACATCTGGGACCATTAGAGCGGAGACTGGAAAGACAAAAATATGCCAGAAAGAATAAGAAAATTCTTCTAAACTTTTCATTAGATGTAAATCAGACATGAACGAGAACAGTCATGATATCATTAATGGTACCATTTATTTTAACATAAATAAAGTTTATGTTAGAATGTTAGATCTAACACGTTTTCTAACCACTTTTCTAACATGGTCTAAAACTCTCGAAAATCATGAATTTTTGAACATTTCCTTATGAAAGAAAAATAACGCTAATTTTTTTCTAAGAAAAATTTTTATCTTGTATGTAAAGATATGATTTCAACAATAGGTTCTACAACACTTCAAACAACAACTTCACCAAACTCTTTAGTTATGAATCCAACATCTATGTTAGTAGAGATGAAAAGCTTCATTCCTTCTTATATGAGACAGAAATACAAAGAATTAAGCAAGAACTTTTAACAAGTAATTTAGACTGTAGTGCGAAAGATGAAACAAATGAACAGTATCTTTATGACATGCAGGATATTATTGACCATTTACCCAAATTGCCTGAAATCCAACAACAAAAGCTCACTATTCATGAATTCGATGAAATAGAAGTGAAACCAACTGACTCAGTAGAAATAAAGAAGTTCATACGTAAAGTAAACTATGAGTTTCTAGGATATCATTGCAACCATAAAGTTATGGACAAAGATTGCGACATGGTATATAAGAACATCTCTGACATATATAAATCGGAGGAGTTTAAGACATACGACAACTTGTTTCGTTAGTTGCTGAATGTGTATGGCAGATAAGAGATAAAGATAAAAGATGTAAAATATGGAATGGACAAATAAAACCAACAACTTTTGAGTTAAAGAAAACCATTGACGCCTTAGTTGTTCTAGCAGGTCAAATTTCAATGTATAACGCAAAAATGAATCCGCAATGTTCAAAATGTAAAGCAGCAATGAGGAAATATAACTACTCCGTCAAAGAGATAGAACGTATGAGAAACGACTATACTGACTTAAAGAAAGAAGTAGAGAAACCAGCAGAAGATAAAATAGACATGTTAGCATTTCTGAACAAAAACTATCCAACAGCTGACGATTTCCTATTATCTGATGTCAAGAAGAAGTATAAAGAAACCTTCGGCATAGTTAAAATTTTTGATATCCTTCGTGAAGAAATAGAAGCTACAAAACTGTTTAAAGTCATGAACCATCGCAACATATACCATGTAAAACGCTTGTAAATAGTTATGTTAGAAAAGTGGTTAGAAAACGTGTTAGATCTAACATGCTAACATAAACATTATTTTTTCTATCTTAAGGAAATTCACGAAAATTCATGAGTTTTGACATTTCCTTATGAAAGAAAAATAACGCTAATTTTTTCTAAGAAAAATTTTATCTTGTATGTAAAGACAGTAATGACAAACATTGAGTTTGAAACAGTTAGAAAGATTGACAATGACACCAAAGTGGTTAGAATTGGTGATTTAAACGTAAGATACTGTAAGAAATACAACAAATATTCTTTGTCAGACATTATAACACCATCTGGAAAGAAAACAAAGGACTGGGTTAGAATTGCTTCTACTCAGAAAATTTTGACAAGAAATCCTGAGCTTATGATATCAGTAGCATTTCATGGAACAAGCGCATATCTTATAGACAAAAGTCTTATACCAATAGTTTTGTTATGGTTAGACCCAGTTGTTGGATATAACTTCATAACATATGGTTCATTCGACTCAGAACGTTGCAGTGAAGGCTTACTTTACATCGTTCAGAAACCGAAGGACTTCAATACAAAGAGATATAAGATAGGAAGAACATATAATATAAGTAGTAGATATGACAGTACAGTCAATAGAGTCAAGGTTGTGTTCGTTAATGATATGAGAGCCGCAGAAACAGAACTACTCGAAAAGTTTGAGAAAATGTATGGTGCTCCCATAAAAGGTAAAGAAACGTTTGAAGTAGATGAGATAGATAAAGCTATAAAATTATTTGACGAAGTTGCTGAAAAATACATGTAAAGCGTTTATTTTTGTCTTTTGTGAAAGTCAGAAAATAAAGTTAGTTTTATTTTTATTTATTTTTTTTATTTTGTATGTAAAGACAGTAATGTCAACAACAGAGAACACAACAATTGCTATCGTTCATGAAGCCATAAATGAAGAATACGAATACATACAATATAACAAACAACTTCGCCTCATTCGTTCGGTCAAAGATGACATGTACCAAATGCAAAGTATAATGAATGCTCTTCTTTCTACAAAGCAAGCATATCATTGGTTTGAAAACCAACAGACAAAAGAACTTTTAGAAGAATTTCCTCATATGATTGCTTCTCTCGGAAAACCGGGGGAAGAGATTCCGTATGAAAATCGCAAGAATTTGGCTCCTGGTTTGAAAGGTTATTATGTTCATAGACTTTTAGTAAATGCTGTAGCAATGTGGGCTTCACCTCGTTATGCTTGTTATATTTTCATGATGTTAGATGAACTATATAAAGCAGAACGTGAAGATATGGAAATGAAACTTCAAGCAAAAGATGAAGTCATTGAATCCAAAGACAAAAGCATACAGAAAAGAATACCACGTTCGTACCAAAAGGAAAGGAAAAGAACTATAAGTATATGATATATACTGAAGAGTTGGAAAATGAAGAAGACAGAGATATGGTTATGTTGCATTTAGTCAGAAGAAACAACAAGAGCTTTTATGACTTAGCTAAGATTTACAAATCTGACAGAAACTGGTTCTATCGTGAAAACTTACCGATTTCAATGACACCGAATGAGCAAATAAAGGAAATAGTTCAAGATACGTTACCTCAAACACACTATGACATCAAAGGTTATACAATACTTACATTCAAAGAAGACTTAACATTACTGAAGGAAAAAATAACAGAATATTTCAATAACTTCAAAGAGGAAGAATGAAGTCACGACAACATTAACGAAGAGAGAATGAGATGAAAAAAACGGGTGAGATCTCACCTCTTCACCTAAAATATATTTTTGTGCTATATTTACACTCATTTACGAAGAAGTCATGAATCCTACGTCAATTATGTTCGACACTGTAAGCATTAACGATAACATTAACAATAACATTAACGATAACATTCATTTTTGCATTAATCCTGCTGTGTTGTCAAAATGTCAGTCTTTGTCTATAAAGCAAGCTGCGCTCCATGAGATTCTCATAAATTATTATGAGCATCCGGAACTTCACAAAATCTGGATTCGTTTCTATGGTTTCCAGCGTTATTTTTGCATCATGACACGAAGTGAAGATTTGCACTTCGTCAAAATGTCAGTCTTTGTCATCATTTTTAAAAGAAGTTAATTAACCTGGTGACATGGTGACGTAGTGACACTCTCAGTTCTTCAAAAATATATTTTTACTTAAATAGCTTCAGGGTCAATTTCTTCAACCATTTCACTTCTTCGTCAATGTCAATAGAAGCTTCTTCAACCTTTGGTAAGAATTTCTGTATAACATCTTTGTTCGTTATTGTCTTCAGAGATGAAGGATAATATTTCACATGTTTCACCCTTCTTATATTCTTTCTGTTCGGAAAGATTTAAAGCAATACTGAAGAAGTCAATGTTAGAGTTCTTTATGACAGTATAATGAGTATCTTTGACATTCACGAAGAAACTCTTTTGTTTCAAAACTACTGCTAACTCTTGTGAAGTATAACGTTTGCGGTCAATGACGATAGCTAATGGTCTGACATACTGACCAAACTTAGATTCTTTCACAAACTTCTTGTTAAAGATAACATTAACATTTGAAGCATTATTGAACTCATTCTTGATGGCAGTAGCGAGAGCATTGTATGAAAAGAACTTGCAATCTTGCATGTGTTTCATTAAAATAAAAATATTAAATTATTTTGAAAAATAACTTTAAAAAATCTAATCTAATTTTTTCAAAAAATATTTTTTTTATTTCCTACTAAAGATGTATCGGAAGTTGTCTAAGTTAGAACACTCGGAAATAAAACAACTTCTAACAGAAGCTAACATAGATGTTGCAAAGCATTACGCAACAAACAAAAAAGCACTCGCTGACTTCATTAAAGACTATAATGGTGCAATAAGTTATGATAGAATTCATGAGTTCATAAAGCCGCAACGCGGCGAGGACGAAGTCCAGCAAGAGCATTTCCTTTAAATGACGTTGCTATTGACTTATATCATAGACGTTCAGTACCTCATGAAGTAAGAAGAGAAATGTTTGACATAACAAATGCAAACGTTGGTGAAACAAGAAGAAGAGACGACACACTGAAACAACAGAGAAGAGAGATGTTTAAGAGCGCTATAGAACAAGTTCGCAAAGCTAACGATGTCATTCGTTCCATTGACGACAAACCAAAAGAAGGTGAGAGATGGTTAAAGAAAGATGAAGAGAATAGGAAGAGAAATGTGAAGTCAGGCAATAGACTCATTGACTTTAACATCGAAGCTTTAGATGAACCAAACAGAGACTACTTACACAAACATTTCGGTAAGGTTTTCATGAGACTCTTAGAGAAGATTAAAATAAACTCCAACAAAGATGGATGGTATGTTATAAACTTGGTGGAAAGTATGAATGTTCTACGTTAAACCTCAATAATATTGGAACATTACTACATCAGCTCTTGAAGGAGAACTTTATATCAGAGATAGAAGCAAATGCTGCAGGTATTGTTGAAATGCACTATGACTTCTTCTTGACAAACATAAAGAATCTTACTGAAATAAAGATGTATGATTTAACAGAATATGAAGGCTTAACGATGTCAGATGTAAAGAAAGGCAAACCAAAAAAGAGACCATATAGAGATGAAAGCACACTGACAAATGACCAGAAAGCCATTTTGGAAGCTCTTAAGCAAACAGGAAACCCAGCACTTATAGAAAGCTTTTGGAAAGATAATGGTGAAAAGAAGTTTTATAAGAAGAGAAGCGGTCAGTTCTGGAAGTATCTTTGCACATTACCTATAAATCTTGAACGCTACCAAATCTTCAATGAATGAACAAAAGAACTGCAACACTTATGACAGAAGACAATGTTCGTTTATGCTTGCATTCAGGCTGGAGTAAATGAAGAAACTATTGACCACATGAGAGAAGTCATTCGTGTTAGAGACTTTCCTCAAAGTAAAGTACAAGAAATTTCTGACGCAACAGGTATAGCATTTAATGTTACCATTGGTTATTTCAATGACTCAAGACATAATGAAATAAAGAGATACATACCAAAAGAATGTGAAACTGTTCGAACTATTGACTTACTTCTTGTTGAAGACCACTACATGCTAAATGAAAGATTACCAATGACAACATATTTCATTCGCAACTATATAGAAATCTTGAAGGAGTGTGGTGGAATGAACATTGAGAAACAGATGAAGATTTATACAAAGAGAGAAGATAAATATGTAGTTCGTTATGATAGAACAACACCGTTATGGGATGTTATGAAAACATTGTGGGAGTGCAAATATTTCGAACCTATTTCTTATGGAGAACTTTTCACATATACGACTGACTTATATAAACAGAACCTTGCACCATTTAAAGATTTGACATATGCTCCAAAGTATTGTGTACAACTGAAGAAGAAAGCCGAGTCAAAAGAAGTAAATAAAGCTAAATGTAAGTTCATTCCTGAGCACGTTTTCTTTGCTGACTTTGAGTGCAGTACCGATGGCTTTCATAAAGCTTTTAACATCTGTTATGACAGTGAAGATGGTTCAGTGAGTGAAAGCATTTGGGGTCAGAACTGTGCAACAGAATTTTTGGAGCGACTTCCTGACAAGAGTTTAATATATTTCCATAACCTCAGTTATGACATAAACTTCATCTTAAGACACATGACAGAAGTGAAAGGAACTCCCATCATTAAAGGTTCACGAACAATGCAAATAACTGGCTTATATAAAGGAAGGGCAATTATTATAAAAGACTCTTACAGTGTTATAAATAAGAAGCTTAAACTATTTCCTGCTATGTTTAACTTACAAACAGGACCGAAAGAAGTATTTCCATACAACTACTACAGCAGTGTTTTGTTAGCAAATGACAACAGAACTGGTGTCATTTCTGAAGCATGTAAGTTTATCCGGGATGCAGATACATTCATGAAAAACATAGATTCCATCAAAGGTTGCAGAATAGATGAGAACCACTTCGACTTAGAAAAATATAGCACATTTTATTGCAAACAAGATGTAAGAATTTTAAGAGAAGGTTTTGTTAAGTTCCGCAATGACATATTGAAAGAATTTGATTTAAACGTTTATGACTACGTTAGTATTTGTTCAATTGCTAACAAATTATTTGAGAACAGAGTGTACTTCCCGAATGGAAATTTTATATGACCTCTCAAATAAACCAAGAGAATTTATTTCAGCTGTATTCAAGGTGGAAGATGTATGTGTCAGATAACATTAAACAAAAGAGTAAAGAGAAACTCATTGCTGATTCGACGCTGTTTCATTATATCCATCAGCTATAGCAAGACTTTATACTTTAGAAGGTATTCCAAAGGTTATGAAGAAAGAAATGTTAAGCACAGAGTATCTCATGAGACATTTATTCGATGACGACCAAAAGGAACCCATTGGTGAAAAGTTTATGTCTGGCTTCTTTGTTCTCATTAAGATAACAGAGATTGGAATACATAGACACTTTCCTTTAATAGTTTGTGACCCTGAACTAAATCCAGAACTTAACGTTCCCAGAAGTTCAAACACTTGCTGTTTAATGTATGTTGACCATATAACATTACAAGACCTCATAAAATATCAAGGTGTCAAATGTGAAGTGTTGCAAGGATACTATTACGATGGAAACAGAGATATTAGAATAAGAGATGAAGTAAAGAAGTTGTTTGAGTTAAGGTTAAAGTATAAGAAAGAAGGAAATCCTTTGCAAGAAAATATAAAGCTCATTCTGAACAGTATTTATGGCAAAACTATTCTATCTCCTATTGAGTCAAAAATAACCATAGTAAATGACAAAGA